AAATTAGTGAAAGATGAAAAATATGAAATTTTAACGTGTTAAACAAAACTAATATTCTTTGTGGCGTCATTTTTTGTAATACGTAATGCCATTTTTAATTGAAATGTAATTTCAAAACTACATTGAATTAAAAACCTCATTATTATGTTTGTGTAAGTAACATCAAAGTAAATATGAATAATACGAAAGGTCACCAATATAATATTTAATATATATATATATATATATATATATATTTTTTTTTTTAATTATGTGACATTAAAAATATTAATAAGTAATAATTCCTCAAAAAAATCAGATTTTTATAACAAGAAATTTGTCCATTGACCGGGTATTTTAATGAGTTTTCTATTTTAGTATATTTTTCTGTATTCAGTCGGTGATTTATGTACGTATTGTAGAGGTCAAAACGTTCATTACTGGACAGATAGAAAATGTTGTGCATCGATATATAGATGTAACTGTCACTGAGTTTCACTATGAAAACAACGGTAACTACTGAAATAGTTTTACTAGCTTAAACTACTACGAACATGTCGGTCTTATAGTAGAATGGTGAACGGCAAACCCCGGATTTACATAAAAAACGTTTAGTAAATAATATTCCTCATCTAAATATCTCAAATCCTTAGAGCAATTTTCTTTTAGACATTGATACTTTACGTTTTCGTAGAACATTTTTAATAGGCACCAATAAAATAAAAATGTGTACTTAATATTTTATCTATATTAAAAAAATCTTGAATAGGTAATTCAATAAATAATTAGTATGTGTCCATTATTGTAAATCTAAGTACTATAAACGTAAATGACTTCAGAATTTCATTGAATGTATTGTTTTCAAATTTACTCAACCTACCCAATAAACTACTAACTTTTTCCAAATATAAATTCGAATGAAAAAAGATGATTTGAGTTTTTTTCATCATTAATTTTCTACAATGAAATGCAAATACCTTGAAGTTAGTTAATCAATAACGGTTTTTATAGCATGAAAATGAAATATAGGAGATGCGTATCATTTGCTTAATGATTTCGTTTCCGTCGTATTTCCTTTATGAAGAATTGTTATAAAATATATACTCGACTGTCTATAACCATATTATTTAACGTCTCATCAGACAGCTTCGGTGTGAAAGTTTTTTGATAAACGTTTTTTATCCCCGCCAATCTTTGAGATGAAACAATTTCGAATAAGAATAATTATACGCACCTCCGATTTGTGTAATTTATTGTTCACGGAAACAACTTTCAATAACTCTCGCGCACGTGGGTTGTTTGGATCCAAGTGAATTTTGTTCATTCATAGTAATAACCAAACACACCACGTCTCTGATACGATAGCGGCCGACACAGCATCGTTCTTTGGTGACAATATATCAAATTATATTAATTTTATATTCGCTCATGAAAGCTCGAAAATTATTAAAAAGAAATAATAATAATGGCAGACGAGTGTCAATGGTATGACGAAAATTCACAAGTACTATGGCACATGCCGTGTAAGGTAATTTATCATATATATATTATCAAAATGTGTACCTTGTAAACGGTCATACATATGCAGTTTATCTGCTCTTAGCTATTGTTTTTAATCGCATTCGCTCGCTGTTATTATTGTATTTGTTTGCCACTCTCCACCACCCAACCCAACCCAAACTTTTCATCTACCATTTGACAAATAGCCTAAACTTTCAACGGCCGCCTCCTTACTGTGGTATGAAACTTTTTCCCTAGTCATTTACAACCTATGTAATTTGACGCTCGAAATGTGTTCATTAAACTGTTCCCATGAGACCATAAACAGGTGTCCAACTATTTGATTTCTCTTAAGCGAAAAGTATAAAAAAAAACATTAAATGTTTTTCGAAAAAATAAACAACATATCTTTGGGAAGTTTTATTTAGAAAGTTTTACTTATATTGAGCGAAACTAACGTACATTTCGTACTTGACGCGTTTTATTCGAGATTAAGTAGTTTTCATATATATTCGACCATTTGTATGAGTTTAAATTATTCTATTAGATAACGGTATTTTTATTATTTATAAAAAATATCAAATAATTTGTTCAGCTTTTATTTGGTAAAATAAATTATTATATATCTGCTTGAATAATTAATCGTTAATTTTATTAGATATTTTCAGTATATTAATTTTTAAAAAAATATACGTTTTGGTCTATTTCTGCAGTATAAATACAGTGTTAAGGTGTTGAACACTTTTCACTTAATAAAATATAACATAGGTAAATCGCATTGTAATGAAAATTTAAATAAATATTAATTTTAAAATACGCAAAACATTATTTTTCCATACATTGGGTTTGAACCTAATGAGTTAAAAAAACATGCCTTCTTAATGCTTTTAATATATAAATGTATAACTCAAATAATTTTTCTTACCGCTTAAATAGCTCCTTAAATATAGAAAATAGAGATTCTATTATATAATTGATTAATTTAAAATCTATAAACGTATTAAATTATACTTATCATCTACTACTGTAAGTAACCATTAACCAATAAACGTTCCATTTTTCAACGTTAGTATAATTTATATCAGTTACTATTGTAAGACATTGAAATTATTTTTTTAATAATATTGTTTTAAAGAAGTACAATCTACAAGTCTCGATGTACCGTCATATTTAACCCAGTATTTTTATTCGTTTCTGGAAAATAATATGGGATTAATAATAACCGCGGCATTATCGCATTACCGGTCGGTCGCGGCAGTCTACCTAAATCCCAAAATAACCCGTACTATATATTTTAACATACCTCTTACCTTTAAAAAAGAAATTAAATTATATTATTCACAAATTACAAGTATATACAATGTATGAGAAAAATCAACGAAATTGTATTCAAATAAAAAAAAAAATGGTCAAAATTGCAATCAAATTGAAAAAAAAGACAAACATTTTCAGTAAAAACTTTTAGATATAAATTTTTACTCGCATAAGATGAATTTTAAACCTATTTAGCAACAAATCCAAGCAATGGAAAAAAAGTTGCAAATGCAACAACATCTGACCCCTAGTTATAATCATTATTAGCACTGTTTTGTTTAGAATCTAAACTTTGAATAAATCTTTGAAATTGTTTTCTCGTAGTCCATAAACCCATTGTATAAAAAAAATAGTATTTTTTTTGTGAGAAAAATTTTTGCGAATTTAAATATTTGAAAATTGGGCTCTAAAAGTTACCGTTGTGAGAGTATAAGCTTTTTACCGATTAATAATAATATTTTTTGTAACTGATATTAACAATTTTGTTTCAGAAAAAATTTAAATATTAATTATAAATTATTTTCCGATAATTAAATTAAATTTTTCAAATAAAATTGTTCAAGCTCACAGTTTTCAAAATAATATGTATTCGAAGTAAGATAATGTCATATGATAGCAGCTGTTGGTGGAGTAGGTAAAATAAGTCTCATACTTTTCTTAAATTAATTTGCTCAATACATAATATATTAACATTGGGGGTATAGGTTCAATATTATAAGCACATCGTTCTTATATATATACTCATATATGTATATAATTATATCGTGATCTGATCGTTTTAAACATATTATTATATGATTTACGGAAAATTTCGATTTCTTAGCTGCTGTTTATATTATTATTTCGTAGTTGTCGCTATGTGTCGTACAAACAAAACATCATCTTATATGGTGAAAGTACTTAAATATCAATTATGTTGAAATGCATATTTTATTGTAAATCTTGCCCTTCGATTGTATCTAAAAATTATAACTCGTTAGAAACTAGTGATCCTCGTTGCGATTTTTTATACTACTACTCGTTACCAAAATTAGTTTCAGTCGCAGCGTTGATAATATGAAATGAAAAGAACACCGAAATATTACTTTTTTACGTCTCCAACTTGATTACGTGTTTTAGTGTTATACACGTATACGTATACATGGATAGATGTAGTGTATACACCGAAAACGTTTTAAAATATTTGTATTGAACGTACATGTACGTAGGCATCCACAGAATTAAATATAAGTTGATAATGATAATAAAATGACGCTGAAGAGTGCTGCGATCTTGTAATAAAAACAGTCGGCTTCGTGTAACATGAAATCGATTATAAAATTGATTATTTTTTTACATTTATTATTGAAATACAAGCGTTCAACACAAATTTCGTCGTTTGTTAGTAATTCGATGAGCTATAATAATTGGTGTGATGCGTAAACGTATAATGAAATAATATACCATTTTAAATGGGTTCACTTCATTAATGCGCTTTTAATTAAACTACTTCAAATTTGTGAATATCTTATTTGGTATTCGATTTATACGTGAACAATGACAGTAAAGAATCCAATCTATATAAACTCAAATAGTAAATCAATACCTATTTACTCTAAAAATCATTGTATACATTATTATCAAAAACAATCAAAGTATTTTATTTTTCCAATTTTAAAACAACCAAATACATGTGCATTTATGAGTATTTTGGAACTTTTCTGAAAAAAAATTAACAGTGTGTTTTAGTATCTTAATCTAAAAATGTTTTTAATAACTAGTCAATTATGATTTTAAGACGAATAATTTCCCTAAAACAATCAAAAATAATATATAATTTAAAATTACTAAATATTTTATAAAATCAACAGAGAAATGCATAATTTTTGGATTTTACTACGCATCATTATGTATGTATTGTGTTAAAATTTTTTTATAATTAACCATTTAGAAATCCGGAGAATAATAATTTAGGAAATACTGATATATGTATATCAATACGCTGTGTATAATTAGATAAATCGTCTTAAACATAAAAGTTTAACATTCTTGTATTATACAAGAATGTGTTACTTATATGTTTTAAACATTTTTATTTTAAAATAATATTATTATGATAGCATAATTTTATCATTGCACATCACTTATGTTGCTATCGTAAAATTATGAATTATTTTCTCATAACATAAAAGTTAATTTATTTATGAATTGTTCCTTTTTGATTTTAGGTTGACAGTTATCTACTCGAACGTTACGCGCTTGAAGTATCCGATGGGCCGTTCTATAATTCCACATTGGGCCTACGGTTTTTATTAAAAAAAGATTGGGTGGACACAAACAAATATAAGATGGATGTCAAATGCGCTGCCAAAGTATCTGGAGCCGATGCCAAGATGGACGAAACTAGTGTTCGGCTACGGGCTGTAACCGACCACACACTGTCCCAAGAAAGGCACATTTATAATACGGGTAAAAGATAATCATTGGTTTATCAGTATGAATTTACATTTATCATAACTCATATATCATAAACCTATGAATACTAATGTACCCATATAACGGCTAAATAATTTTCGTACAATTAAATAACATGTGACTTTAAAATTAATATTTTTAAAAATTATAACAAAAAAATCCACAATAAAAGGAAAGAAAAAGATAAAATTAACATAAAAATTACACTTGTAAGTTATCATCATTAACGGGCTTTAACATGACACATATAATTATTATTAATTATATTAATCCAGATTTCAAAAGAATCGATACCATATCGATAAGCATTTGATTCTCGTATTTAAGCCACGTGTGTTCCTTTCGTGTCATTTCTTTATAACACTAATAGCAGCAATCATAACATTGTCTTTAATGGATAATAAGTATAATCTCGCACGCGATAAGCGTATTAGATAATAATTATAACCACCCAACACCAACGCGATACACGTATACCCAGACGACCAAGCACAATTGTACTAACTATAATATCATGAACGATGAATGAAAATCAAAATTCAAAATGGATTTATAATTATAATCATCGATAAGAATTCTTTCTACGAAAATATACTTATTTCGAAAATCCGAAAAATGAATGTTGTGCAAGCAAAAACTCAGGCAAATATTTTAGCAATAAATACCCCTAACCGAGAAAAACATAAATGGAGCCAAATATGTTCAATCTGAAAACCAAATCAATTAACTGAATAAACAACTCATCACACGATCAATAAAATGTTTATTTCCATTGTTTCAGTAACGGTCACTTTTGAATTCACTAATCAATTAAACTATTATATTATACTATATAAAAATATAAACTATAAATTAATAAAATATTCGATTAGTTAATTATAATATAAACGGTGCAGTAAGGAGAATGTGTAATAACAATTCGCGTATTAATTGTAAAATTAGATTTTTATTTTTTATTTATTTTTCTCATATTCATTATTAAATAACACCAGTGGGCAAATTAGTATATGTAATTTCTTATGATGTAGCATATAATAAAGATGGTTTAACTTATATTAAAAATATTAAACTATAAATATGTGTATACTTTTGAAACTCATTTCTCTTTACACATTGTATATACACTTTGGTTGAACATAATAATTAATTTTGAAAAATGTATAGAACTTCTTGCGAAAAAATTCTAACAAGTTAAAAGCAACTAGTTTTCATCCGATTCGCGTCAAATTGCACTTAAAGTCACAGGATAATTATGTATTAATTATTAGTGCCTTTTTTTTCAACGTCTGTTACAAAATTCCACCCACGTATACAATTTGACTAAAATATCTTCTGAGTTAGAAATAAAATCACAACAATTTTGAAACATACGATATACAATATAAAGTAATTTAAATTTTACTATCAAAATGTATACAATAAATATAAATTTAAATCTTTAATACTACTTATATTTATATAATATATACGTTTTTCGCACTTAACTTAGTGATTTTTTTTTTTTTTTTACGTAATTTATGAAGTAAAAAATAAATAAATAATTATTTTCGTATTGATTATAAATTATAATACAGAAAAAAAACAACCAGGAACATAATGTATGTTTGATTTTTTTCACCATGACTACGAGTACACTTTTTTCTTTCTTGAAAATGTTTACAGCTAACTACTTTACTAATATTACAATTATAAAATATTTAATCCATCGAAAATTTCAAACAACATATGATTTTGTTTTCAATAATACTATCTACTATATAGTAATCATATTGATTGCACCAGTTGTAATTTGATTCCACATTTATGGTATATAATAATTTACTTTTTCAACAAATTCAAAATCACATAGATTAACCTAAAACGTAAAAAGGTATTGTTTAACATTTAATTCCAAGTAAGAATTTAAATTTTCTGAGATCGACTTTATTATTTTCGTTACAAAAAATTAAATCTGAATGAATTATCCTAATTTAAAATTTATTGTTTTCTATTATTACGTTTCAGAGTCTCTATGAATCAGCCGTAATACGATTGGATTTTACGTCCAAATTTTGTACGTAAAATATCAATAAAAATTACATTTTATTGTTATATCAATGACTCAATGTTTTTTTTGTTGTTAATTGTTATTTATATATCAATCCAAAATAAATTTCAAAAGTTTTTGCGAAAAAACATAATTCTTATAATTTTGCCTATAAATTAGCATCTCTATCCTTACTATAGAAGCGTCAAATAATTTCCCTTTGATGCATTCTATTTTAATTAAGTTTATAGTTGTTATAATTTCTTGTGGGACTTCACTATATATATATATGGCAATTAAAATAAGTGCTTTGGAGAAATACGGGTGGCTATATATCGTGACCAATATCATTAGTAACTGTCTCCACTGAGTTCCACTTTGGTCTAGGAAACTTTGTAATTTGTTCCAATACAAAAGTTTACAGAACCATTAAGATATAATGCGATTCTCAAATTTTTCTATGCGACAAAAGATATATCAACTTCGAAGCATATTAAATTAAATTACATTTTCAAAATGTGATTATCATCAATATTCATGATTCTACCTTTAGCAGACCATGTAATTTTTTCATATTTAATAGATAATGTTTATAATTTTTTTTTTACTTTTTATTATACATTAATTGTTCTGTAGTTTTTTTTTCATTTTTATAAGTTATAATTATATTTATCTTGGAGTGAAAATCTGATGGTGAGGCAACAGATTTGGATCATTTTCTTTTGAAAAATATAACCAATACAGTTTTAACATCTATAAATGTATTTCTAAAATAAAGCGCATGAATAAATATAGAAACTATCATTGTTTTAATTAATATTTTAAATATTTTAAAATATTATTTATTTAAAAACAGTAATCAACGGATAAATAATCATAAAACTGATTTTATTATAGATTACTTATTTATTTCATAACTTTTAAGATGCCTAGGTTTTTTCTCCCATAAAGGTTGTGGTCTATAACAATTTATAGACGTAATATTAGATATAATTTAGAAGGTATTTAATATGTCTAGAGTTCAAATTCTTAAACTCTTCATCACCTATATTTTAAATGTATCAGTTTTTTACGATTTTTTGTAAAAAACACAATTAGTCCTTCAATGAGATTCTTGAAATTAATTTAAATATTTTAAAACATTAAAAAATGTTATTAATAATATAGTTAAAATTAACATGTTTTGGTGTAACTCAATTGCTATTTATGTTTTATTTTAACATTCAATACACGCGTTTGATGAAAATGATTGTTGTTGAAGTCTTCTTTTTTTATGTACTTTTCAGTAATGATTGGTTAAATTCGGTAAAATATGTTGGAAATTTGATGAAAATAATCAATGTATACCAGAAAAAAAATGTTTTCAAACTATAATATGAGTTCTTGTCATAAAAAAAATGGTTTAATAGTTTTCTAAATCATAACTACATTTAGAATTATTAGATTTGCTATAATAATTTAAAGTTTTTTGTTTTACTATACTGTTAAGATTTTTTTAGTTGTAAAATTTAACACGAGGTGTTATACAATGCCAGTAAAGTTAATTAATTTAATTCCTCAGAAATCTAAAAAACTTAAAAATGTGTTCAAGCAAAGGCCATTATTATGTTTGGAGTTCTTTGTCAAACTGTGTGCTGTAAATATTCATTATAATTTATAATTATTTAGTTTTCTTTTAACATATAAAAGTTTTTAGATTAATTTGTTGTGTCATAAATATATTCTGTTTTTGAATAATTATGAGTTATAATTAATGGCTATTTTAAATTCAATGTGAAGAGAGGAATTTATTGATTTTACCATAATGTGTGTTGTTTTTTTTTGTGTCCACATGATTTCGACTAGAATGATTGCTTCAATAATCAAAAGGAAGAATTGCTTCTGATAAAAATGTTGTTTGTTTGATGCATTCAGAAGGTAGTTTTATAAATTTATCAATTCTTTTTATAAATATTTGAGAAAAACTATTATAAGATTACAAATAAGAAAAAAAAAGATGAACTTGAATGAAAATTGATTTTCCATAAAATAGAGTAATTTTTTTTAACCCTAAAGATGATAATTTTCATAATATTTAGATTTTTTTGTACTATTTAAAGATATTTAACTCATTCATATTTTCATAAATTTTTTGTGAAATAAAATAAAATAATTTATGTTCAATGAAAACATTTTGAAAATATTACATAATATCTTACAATTTTCATACGTATGTAGAAAATGGTTAACAATCATAATTTTTGTTTAATAAGTAATTGAATTTTATATGTCGACAAAATTGAACTAAAATGATAAACTCTTAACTTCTAATGACGTTTAAATTCAATAAAATAATACGAGTTTCACAACAATGTACAACAATATTAATATAATAAACAACAACCAATAAAAATTATCTTAAACAACTTCGGTACTCAAATTCATCTAAAAAGTAGATTATTTATTTTTTTTTTATTTTTTTTTTTAATGTTTATTTTTTTAAACAAACAATATCTACCACTTTTAAGCACATACTTGTGGTGGTAGTAAAGAGTTATATAACATATTATAAACATTTAAATATAAAGAATTGGTTAGTCAAAATATACAATATCAACACTTATAGCTTATATTAAAATTAAACAGTTTAATAATAGTTCCTTATTAGTAATTCAAGTATTGAAAATGACCAATTCTGAATTTTTTTTTTTTTTTTATTCTCATAGTTATACTATTCTCTTTTGTATAGATTATTTCCTTTTTATACTTACAGGCATTAAGTTGAAGTTTTTTGGACCTAAATAGTCTATGAATTTTTGACCAAACGGTTTTTTAAGATATTCCATTCTAACATCAAGTGCTCTATTTTTTCTTTTAAATATTACATTTACATATCCATATAGGTATCAATGTTTTTAATTATATATATATTAATTATTTTTTTATATACAGACTCAAATGGTAACACATCTAATAAGTTAAAATTGTCTTTAGTTGAACCAGTTAACGTATTTTTACTTAAAAATATCCTAGCAATTTTTTTTATAGAAGTTATAGTGGTCTAGACGCTTTTTAATTCAGTTCCCCCTCTCAAACTAATAAACCATATTGGAAAATTGCCTGAAATAGTCCTAGATAAATTATGCGCATAGTTTGCATTGGCAAAAACGACCGTATTTTATAGAAGCTAAACGATAATATACGTATACGCATCACAATATTGTTTACATATAAGTTCATTATATGTATAGAATATAATTATTTCAAAACTCCTTTAAAAAATTATCACTTAACAAGATTGATTCGTAGGTACTGGACGATAAGATCTCTAAATAACTACTGTAACAGCTCGTGATGTTCAAAATGGATGGTGTGCAATTATTGAAATATCATTATATAAAAAAATAAATATTAGTTCATGATAATTACTATATTTATTCTAAAATTCCATTTTTAATAAAAAAAAGTAATATTTTTTACAGTAAAAACATGAAATATTTGTATAAATGAAGTCAAGCGTTCTTTCTTTAGAATTGGTAACATATTCTATGAATTTATAATTTAAATAAAGTATTTTAATGATATTTTTTTCAATAGATAGCACAGTTAATGCTCATAATCTTTTCTGGTACATTGCATTCCGTAAAAATGTCTTTAAAATAATAAATAAATAAAAGAAAATTACTACAGTGGCTAATAAACAACGAAAAAAGTCTGAAAAGTAACATTTAATTAAATTATTTTATTAAAATGAAATAAAAATGCATTTATTCAACTAATTTATTGCTGTATCTGAATAATATTAACAATAATGAAAACAGAACAAAGGCGTGCATATGAGGGGTGCCGGGTATGTCCAGGTACTTCCCGAAATGTGGTGAATGAAGTCCTACAATTTACGTTTAAGAGTAAAGAGCTTGTATTTTAACTGATGTTTTTCAAATTTCATGTAATTTATTCTAAAATATTTGGTAAAAATAAATTATATTTCGTAATAGATAAAATAAAACAAAATATTCTAAGTTTTCGTGCAAAACTTATTATGGTAACATAATAGCTACAATTAACAATAAATGTACAAATAATTAATAATTGAATCTATTTGAGAATAATATACGAGATCGTATATTCGAGGAAAATGTATTCATTGGGACTAATATACGACAAATTGTTCCTCAATATTACATTTTTTTAATTATTTATACATTATAATTTATTAAATATACCTATACATTTTATTGAGATAGGGCCCAAAATTGTCCCTGAAATTTAGTCTGAGCATGTCTAGAGATAGAAATAGAACGAATACGTGAAGATAACTTAATAATAATACAGATAGGTACCGCGATGTAGCTTATAAAATTTTGATTGAACGTACAGTTATAGATGTACATTAAGACTTCGTTTTTTTATTAACCCCGTTACCACACACACAAACACTCAACGATCGAATGTATTATACACAGAATTACGTTGTTCTGGACTACACTGCACACCAGTTGATGTGTGTTTATTACATAACTCAGTTAATGTTTTAATTAATATTTTCAGCAGTTATAGAATGTTTTAAAATTAATTTTTTTGTTTAGTATAATAATGATATAGTTGTATTATTCCTCTACGAGTTAAATGGATATTGTACTTAAATAAAATACATGTTACTATATTATCGATATTAATCTATATAGTGTGGCCACACCTGCAAACCTAGGCACAAGCCGCCACTGAATGTCTATGTTGAATGTGTCAGAGATAAAGACAGAAAAGCTCTATTTCAATACCATTATTTAATTTTGGCATTTATAATTGGACGTTTATTAGATTTCAGCTTAATTTATATACATTCCAAAATGCAAGTCCTACATAAACCTAAAAGTTATATTCTTTCAATTGTTTTTTGATCATTTATTTTAAATGTATATAACAGGTAATAACACAGCTTTAAAAATTCTAATAATCATAAACAAGAGTAAAGAATATGCGCCTATTATGTCTTTCGTCACTATCTTTTCAGTCAAAAGAAAGGACGGAAGAACAAATTAAAAGTTTATGTATAATAATAACTAATATATTGTAATTGGTTTTATTTTCAGGTGCTGTCTTCACCAATTACTGGTTGGTCATTTTGACAATATTCGTTTTACACTGCTACGGAACGCAAAACTAACGGGTTGTTCAAATCTCGTTCTAATACCTGAAAAATCGATTAAATTTGTTATCAAAGATTTGCAAAAAGTAAAAATACACATTTTTTTTTTTTTTTCATTATTGTCGCCTTGGACCACACCAAATAATAATAATGGTTAAACTTCTAACACAAAAATTCCTCGTTAAAACTGAAGTTGTGTAAACAAACGTAGTATCAATTTAAGAGTTTATTTTTTTTTTCAAAGAGTTTTTAAAATCTTTAAACTTTTTATTGAAACTTCAAACTTTTGTGTGGAAATGTTAAAAGACCCTTCATTTTATAAACCTTTATGTTTTAATAATTTGGTCTACTTTTTTTCATAACGCGTAAGAAACAATAACGGGATTGGTGTAAGTTTAACATTTTAAAAATAATACCATATTTTTTCTACTTTTCCCTCGGCAGTATATATACCTATTTATTTTGTAGTACAAACAGTAGAGAAACTGATTAGGACCTAATGGGGGGCTTTTCTACCTTTTTTCTTTCTTCCTTTTACACCCGTATAAATTATTGCGTCATCCTAAAAGCTACTTGTTTGAGAATACAAATCAACAAGTACGATAAGTGACTATAACTGTCTACTTTGTGTAAATACTATCTATTATTGCTCCATATAAATAATTTAGTATATGATAATATTATACATTATAGTTAATTATTGCAGTTGTTTAAAATAAACCTGACTAAAATTACTGAATATTTTTTATATTCTTTAACGTTTACAAAAACTAGTTTTATTTTATTTTTGTTATAATTTTGTTTTTTATGTTATTTACATAATTCTATAATGATAATACGATTTTTGAGAAAATTTCTATTATATGATGGTAGAATGAATAACTTCATAGTATTATAATAGGTAAATAAAAATCCCTCTGAGGTATAAAAAGTTTTAATTTAAATATTTGTATTTTTAGTTTTTATAAAATTTAACCCTCGTTTTCCAATGTTTAGTTTGAGTTATCCATATATCTATTTTGAATTTTAAATATTTCAATATACACACAAAAAAAAATTTTTTTTTTTATCGATTATTAATAATTTTATTAAACTTATAAATTGTTATAAAAAAAAAAAAGTCGTGGTTATTAATTATTTTATTTGTTTATAAAAGTGGTACTGCTTTGGGCGTTTTGATAACTTATTTCAAAAGTTTAATGATGAATATTATGACTGAATGTTTTAACTGTTAATGCATTGCCGGTATAGCAACTAAACTATTTTATTCTGGTCTTTGATCTGTATGAACTAAGTTTAATTGAACGAAATCTTTCTTAAATATCATGTAAAAATTACGTAAATTTAATAAATATTCTATATCTGTAGTTTTAGAGATAAAACAAAAATAAATATTTTGAATAATTGTGAGTTGAAGTGACATAAGTATAACATTTTACATAAAATAACGAAAAAAAAATCTTAAATTAAACATAGAATTACATTCCCGTTATTATATATGAATTGATTAATTTTGGTATTCAATAATATATAAATCACTATAATTTTGATATCAGAACTACATCATTTGAAATACGTCATTTAAGGTTTTGACATCCTATAAATAGTAATATTTCTAGAAATAAAAATAATTTTGTGTGTTTTTCTACAATTATACATACCAATATCATTATTCTTCATACTAAAAATGTATGATAGATTTTTTTTAACTTTGATAATTTGGTGTTCATTATATTAAGGTGACTGATGAATGATTCATGTTTATTGAAAGCAAGACAATTCAGTTTAACTTGTAACTATATTAACTATACAAAAAAAGAAAAATGTATTTATTTGTAGTGTGTAGAGTTTTCACGAAACATAAATTAAAAAAATGTTAACACTTGTAAAACACGATAAATTAGTACAAAAAAATAAAATAAATCAAAAAGATTCAAATATTTCATGTTGTTTATATTTTCGTCGAGGTCAATAAATCAACAGTAAACTACAACTACTTCCTAACTACATTCAAAACGTGTCAAATTGATTGTATCTACTTTTAACAACCTAATCGGACACCTTAACTGTTGAATGACTTTTGTACATAGAACTTTTGTTGTTTACATTACTTTGCAATTCTTTAGTCTTGTTTTAACTATAGCTAACACATTTCTAAATTTATATTATACATAAAAACTATTATTATATCTAAACTATAATCAATGTTATCTATTTGAAAGTAAAAACAACTTGCAATTTTGTTATGTTATAATCTTATAATTGTCACCTAAAAATGAATGTATACTTGTAATATATACACATATATATTAGTATAATATGCATTAAACTATATATATAATGTTATTTATTATACTTATAAAATAAGTATGTATAAAATAAAATGTAAATACACTTTTTGAGACAAATATTATTTCTAGATATTGTTTTTATTATCTTTAATCATTTTGAGTTTTAAGTTTAGTAAGAACCAAAACTGCCATAAGCATTCTTTACATATATGAATAATCATGGTTGATTCTGTTTGGAAAGATGCACTGGAGTCATCTAAAAAGTTGAATTACTAGCCCGTCTCAGTTATAATTAATAAACTGTAAAACTATTACTGAAAATACACCATTTTTTAATAGAAATAACTAAAACTGAGGCAGAAAAATTGAGAATAATTATTGAATGGGAAATTCTAATATGCTAAGTTAATTATCGTTACTTCTGGAGAAAAAAATAATAAAATTTAAAATATACGAATCAGAGCTATTTTGTCCACAACGATTTTAATCCAAGGAATCTCTTGTTAACCATATTAGATAAATTAATGTTTGAATGTTTATATGTACTGTTAATCATTGACTGAAATATTTCAACATTTATGATTCATAATATAATTTGTACTTAGGATAAAGTAATGTATAACTCTAAGTAGCAACATACATACATTGTTGTACAATCGGTACTAAGGAAAATAGAGGAAATTGAAATATATTAGAAACTAATATCCCTAATTTTTTTTTTTTTTATTGGTACAAATAAAAAAAAAAAAAAAGTTTCTGAAATAAAAGTGTTGTGAATAATATTAAGCATCAGTTTGCCAAAAAGAACTTTTTCTTCATTCTGTTTGTAAAATAATACTAATATAATTTATGTCGTAGATAAAGGAAGTCGTTTGAATAATAAATCACAACGGATCAATATCGTTACCTGCATATTAAATTTTTTGAACATTTTACTACTATACAATGAATGTTAATTTTTTTTTTTATCATTTATCATTCATTATAATAATAAATGTAACCAGATATACATGATATATACTTATAACAATTATTCGGAAGAAATTTGGTATTACATTTTCTACCGGAGAACCGTCAGTCTAACACCTTTAATTTTAAATTAAAAAATATATAATATTTTTTCATTGAATTTTTTTATGCATTTAGAGAAAAATAATTCTTTAGTTCTTAAGAACATTTATACTTGTCTGCTGTTCTGTGTACGATTATTATAATACAAATTGCATACAAAAATAAATAGTTTAAATGCATTATATAAAATTAAAATACATAAATTAAATATACATGATTATTTTTTAATCAATTAAATTTGCACAAAATTGTACTGAATACCCATAGGGCAATTAACAAATTATTTTTAAAAAATTATGTAATTTAAAAATAAATAAACAAATAATTTTCTAAGAGTTTGTTTGATTATATAGCCATAAAGTAATTCGATATTGATTTATTTTCACCGTTTAAATACTTGAATTTATTACTAACTTAATGAGAAAAAAGTTCACAAGACCTACAGATTCTAAGTATTACGTTCATACCTATTGGTATTATTTGTATTCATTTATATAGCATAATTATAATTTATTACAATTTAAAAAAAATTTCAAGTGAAAGCCATTATCATGTACTTAATATCTCACACTGACACAAAACTTAAAAATCATGATACTATCAATTAAAATAAATAAATAAATACTCCATTTATTTTGCTTCTTTCATTTTGAACTTAAAGAAAATTATCATTGATATAAAGATCAAATGAATAAAATAAATATAAATCAAACTTTAATTATATTTTTTTCATCATAGGTCATAATATTTCAAATATAATTACTTAAAACAATTACCTATTACTATATATACTTTATATTTATCTAGGATTATTACGAATTTATGTCTTCAATAAAATTATTTTTATGCAACCTTAAGTTTATTTGAAGTACGTATTATTTTTTACGTTTCAACTACTGCATAGCCTATTTATATACGATTTTAGAGGCTATAACTCGATATATGACGTGCAACTAAAAATACACACACATACACACTTACATATTCAGTATAATAATTTAACATCTTTGGATTTCTATAGAAAAAGCGGTAGTAGATGAGGATAAGAACAGCAAAAAGAGCTGTTACGCCAGACGGCGCACTCGATGAATATAAAACAGGGGTGGTAGCGTAGCGTCTAATGTGCATAATTATGTTCAAAATTTCTGAATAGAATTGAAATTCAAGAATCTCTGATTTCATTAAAATGATTCTGCAGTAATAATTTACCTATGATTATATGTTTCGTACCCAATAAGAAAAGAATGGAAAAGGTTCAAAGAAAAACAAATTCAATAAAAAAAAAAAGAAGAAAAAAAAAATACTTTGAGAAGACATATGAAGTATTAGAAATATTAAAATATTAGTGGATATTCACAATTTACAGTAGCTGCTGTTTCATTCCCCGGTATTATTTTCAGTGATATGGTGTTTATTACAATTCTATGGTAGTCTATGTGGGATGTTTCGGGTGTTCTATGAGGGATATTATACTTTGGTAGTAGCAGGCAAAGAGGATGTTGCTAACTTTTGATATAATAACAACGGACATCGCGCCGCAACCGAGGGACTATAAAGATAATATCACCGCCACCAGAGATCTTTTAGCCATAAATTTTACTTAAATATACCACCGCGAGAAAATGTACGCTTATGCGCGTTATAGTGTGTATTAAAAAGAGAGAAAGAAAGAGAGAGAGAAAGAGTGCAACCTTTTTATCGTTAAAGCTTTTGCCTGAGCCATGAAATGGGATTGACTTTTGTTTTTTTTTCGTCGTTTTTATCCCATCTTTCTATGTATATATATATATAGTGACAAATTTTTAAAACGCATTTTTTCCACCCTTAGATCATCTGTACTATAGCCAGTACATACTAACCGTCACAAGGTTATTCTCATGAAATTAACCATCGGAATG